AGCCATGACTATTATGTGGTGTAAACTGAACCTGAGTCTGAATTCTATTGTAGCATAGCACATTACTATGACTGTTAAAATGATTTTTACTGTTCTTTATCTAATAAATTGTTCCCTACTGGGACTAACCAGTTTTGGTTTAGTTGGAAAATATTCAGTCTCTTAAAAAAATAAAAGAGAGAGAGAGAAATTGATTATGGAGTTAACGTTTAAAATTTTCTCCAGTATCATGCATGTTAGCAGCATTAGGCTAATGCTAGAAGGTTTGCTAGAGGGTTAGCATTAGCTTTCTGAAAGTGTAGTCTCTGTTAACATAAGTATGTAAACTCATATTTTCAAAAGGATGCCAACATTTCCCAAATCCTGCATTTTCCCTTATGACTGGGGATGGAAGCTTAAAAGCAAAAAAAGAACAACTTTGCTGAACCCTAACTTTCTCTCACTCTCACAGCCCGATCTGACTGCAAACCTGTCTCGACATGTCATAGAAGCTGGCTTTCTTTTGTATTTCTTGGTAAATCTCTCTGCTTTTCCACACTTGATTTTGTGTTAAACACCTCACTGTTATTGAAAATACCTACGTTTAAGTCTGCTCCTCTCGGTAACCACGCCCCCGTACCCAACGAGTGTCAATGACGGCCTGACCTGATGGCGATAACGTGCATTGCGTTTTCTGATGGAAAAAGATTGGATATTTGAGTTTCCAACCAGCTGGTCACCAGTCGAGGCAGATAAAGCTGGAATAACCACTGTTTCTCTGCATAAAAGCACAAACATGCCTCAGGTTCTTTGATATATGTCAAAATGAACAAATTACAAGATTATCATCTATGCATGAAGGCAAACATTCCAGGTCTATATCAGATTTTTCTTAAATAAAAAATCGGAGTGCATCAAAGTACAGATTGTTGGTCAGTGCATTTATAGACTGAAAGCAGTGGGAGTTCTTAGTGCTTTTACTAAAGAAAAAAAAAAAATCCCATTTGTCAGCATTTGGTTTGCCAACTCTGGCATCAATATAAACCAGTAGCTTTTGTCCGCATTCCCAAACCAGCATGGAAGCTCCTGGCTGCTGGGAAGTTGATTATTTTATAGATACTGTTTTGGCCCACTCCCTTTCGTAAAACCTCTGCAAGTCATTAGAAGGCTATTTGAATAAACGTGAACCTCCAGCAAGCACAGGGATAAGCCTTGAGGGGTGCTGTAAGTAGTAAATCTGCCTGCATCACCTAGCGGGCTTAGTGGAAACTCTGCTTCCTCATGCGTACGAACGGACAAAAAAAAAAATGGTTCATACACACACAGCAAAGATAATGTCCTCCACTTGCATTAGGAAAGCTCAACGTTTGTACGGCTGAAGGGGAATTAATAATTTTCTTTGAAGTCGCCTCCTGAAACACCTCGTAAAAAAGTCTGGTTCAAAAAGCGAGGCGTGTGACTGATGTGGTCAGAGCGGTTGCTGGGGGACCGAAATAGAAGATCAGGGATCAACAGCTGAACAGCCGCTCAGATTCTCTCTGGGTCCGTCTGACAATGCCGCCTCGGATATGTTCTCACTCTCATAAAACCCCCACGGCCTCCCCTGACGTTTTAAAGCCTCAAAACCACATCGCCACCTCCAGCGTTGGTTAAACGCACACAGAGTTTGTACAGTGTGCTAATACCGTCTTCCCCTGGCCTCCACAGCTGGCTCTATAAAACCAGCTTTCCTGCCCTGAGCCATTCTCATGCTCCTATTGTGGAGCAGGGATTGCAGCCTTCCATTTTTTTTTTTTTAAATCCCACAGTGTCAGACAGTATAAATGAAGTGGCTTCCAAGCCTTAAGCGCAGCGCATAACACCCTAATAACTTTCTGGATGTCTCGGCTGAATTAGCTCGGGCTGCGTCTCGTCGGTGGGTGAGTGCCAGCCGAGCAGAGCTAATGACAGCTAATGACTGTTTACAGTGACAGGATCGTTGTTATCCCCCCTCGCCCTCCACCACCACCTTCCATATCCCACCCCCAGCTCTACAACTCCACAACTCCACCCTCGTCCCCAGCTGTTATTATTATTATTATTACCACTCCACTGCTTTTGATAAGTCTCCACAGACACCCGTTTAAGTGCTGGCTTGATGAAAAGCTCTCTCAGTTCCAAGCGTTTATGCCAAAATGATGTTTTTCTTCTTCTTCTCACTTTGTTTAAGTGAAATGGGAGTCAGGAAAGTGTGTATCCTAACGCTCCTGCCAGCTTCTCGTGTGCGTGTGTGTCTGAGTGAACACGCCAGATGATGGAGAACAAATTGAAAATAAGATGCCTTGCAGAACCTGCCGCCCAGCTGCCCACCGCCCCCTCCGCTCAATCTATGCGTGGATGTGTGTCCATGCGGTTGGTGTGTGTCTGGTTAATTTATTCAGGTTATTTTCTCATCTCCAGACCCATGCAAATGAGACTGAGTAGAGGAGGATGACAAATGTCGAGATGGAAACAGACAGCCCCATTTCTGCCTTTTCCCCGCGACACCTTCTTCCCATTTTTTGTTGCTGGCTTGTTTTTCCACTTGGTTTCTGTTGTTTACGTCCTCGCAAACACCTGGCACCCCATTTATTGAAAAATCCCACTTTTGATTTGAGAACATTGATTCGGATCCATCTCAGGAGGTAATTAAAAACCAAAAAATAATAATTCCTAATTTGTACTTTTACTTTTTGAGATGATCGGACTGTCTAGGAACTTTTCATTGGTAATCCATGACTTCATGTTTGTCTAGGATCTAAATATTACGTGTTATCCGTGACTCTTCAAAATTGAAGATGCAAAAGGACGTGCCATTCAAGTTAAGCAGACATCCACTTGTTTGAAATAACTTATTGCATTAACCATTAACCATACCAGCAAATGAAATCATCTTCAATTGAATCACTTCTGACCAGATGTAAGCAGATTATTCCAATCTTTTTTTCATATATATATATTAGCCACCCTGCATGGCAGAGCAGAATGGTGGCGTTTGTTTTCCTCTTCCCATCTATCATGTGCTTCCATTCTACTCTTTCAAAGCACAGAAGGAGATTTTATAATTCCACCTTGTATCCAAGGGTTAACTGAGGAAAATGTGAGCCCATCTCTTAAAAATATTAAAGCTGAAGCAGAACTGGACTCTGCAACAAAATGGCCCCAAACCTGCCAGAGAATCCACTAATAACTAAAAAGCTATAAAATGGTATCTCCTAGCTTAGTTAAAGTCTAGCTCTTGTATCAAGATGCTGATGGATCATGGCTGAAAATATGGAAAGGGGACAAGCCTTCCTCATAAAAGCTACAAGAAATCTAACTTAATTTGTCTAGGCTAGCTAGTGGTTAGCAGGATTTCCTGACTTCCTTAATTTGAAAACACAAATTTGCTAAAGTCTTATTTTTAATGAGTACAGTAAGGTACTTTATTGTGTCCAGAGCTAAAAAAAAAAAAAATACTGCACATAAATATGTGAACATGTCTTTAGTTTTACTAATAGTCTCGTGTTTACAACTGGTTTGGCTAATTGTTAACTTTGCTGCTGAGTTTTAATGCTCATCAGTGTTGGATTGTGTTGTTGGAAGAACTTCCAGTATGAGGACTGAAGTAAAAGCTCTGCATGTGTGCAGTTTAAGTCTTTACAAGCGGAGAATGCTGGAGCGCCACAGTCAGGAGCCTGGTGTAGATTCATTATTTTAAATAAATTTGGTAAATTTGAAGACTTTTGGGATTATTTTTTTCCCCCTTTACTTAAATGTCAACTGGTTGTCAAAAAAGCCGTCCTACCATCGCAGAAGTCAACATGTTGCATTTACTGCACATTAGGGGGACTTTAACTGAGGTTTTTGCCAGCAAGCCACCCCAGTTGCATTTGGAATAAAACAAATCAAGAATTAGTGGAAAAGCTGTTAATGGCCACTGCTGTGTACAGTGGAGGATTTGTGAGGCTGTGCGCCTGCATGGCATCGTAAACCTTTTTGAAACACTAGCTTTCAGGCAGAAATGAACACAGAAATTATTCATTACAAGCCAAACCAACACGTGGAATCCAATAGAAAGTCTGTGCGGCAATGTGCCAGTGCAGATTTTAGTAAAAGTAAACATTTCTAAAAATTAGCACTCTTCCTCACTGAATAAAATGTAAAATAATGGGCTAATTTTAATGTTAACCTTAATGCCTATATGAGATTACGCTTCTGCGACAAAAGAGGAATTTATTTGAAGGCTTTCAACATGTCTTTAGAAGAGATGCCAACAAATTTCCGAGCGTCTGACGTGCTCCGTTTCAAGCTCGCTGCTGTAGAAAAAGCCTTAATCATCGCAATGCTCTGACCTCAGGAGGGACCCTCTCACCGACGTCGGCGAATTCGCTGCGACGGTGTGTTTCCATACGATAAGCTTCCCCCTAACCACTTCCACTAAGCTGAACAGGTTTTCCCTCCATTATGTCTGGTAATAAGGGACCAGGTCTGCACTCACAATTGCTTGCTGATACCACACACGTAAACAAACAAGCAGGGTGATAGCATTGTCTCCCGGCCTTTCTGTAGGATGGTGTCTGTTCGTGTCGGCGTGAACGTATTAAACCCGGCTCTGCATTAATATGGATGGGAGAATGTTCAGATGAATCTCTGCAAGCCGCTGTGTTTTCCAAAAGCCAGACTGCCGGTGACGGTGAGGACACAGGCTCATAGCTCTGGTGTAATTGGTTTCAGATTTAGCGTGAAGATGCCATGTGTTGTTGTTCAGTGGGAATTATCATAATGAAACGTGCTCTCTCTTTGTTCCTTTATGCCTTTTGGCCCTTTTTTTTTCTTCTTCTTCTTCCCTCCTCCTACTCTCTGTTCCAGCTTTTTTTTTTTTTTTGCCTCATCTTTTGTAAGTGTCCCCATAATTGTTTTGACCATGCATACTTCCCATTAACCCTACTTGTCTAACCCTGTTGTTCCCCACCACCCACCCCACCCCCAAACTCTCCTCCCTCGACCCGTTCTCCCTGCAGAGGTGTCAGTGTCGTCTGTGCTCTGCCTGTCGTCGGTCAGAGAGCTGCCGGTTCAGGTCAGGGAACTGTACGCTCAGGGCTTTGTCCTGGTGGCGGTCCACCCCTTCGTCCATCCCTGCGGCCCTCGCCACGCTCACATTCAGCGCCAGCTCCACCGGGCCGTGTTGGTCCGCGAGACACAAAGGTGAGAAGATCAAACGCACCCCCGTTTTGTTTGAGGTTCTTTTTTTTTTTCCCCTCCCAGCATCATTACCACCTCTGCTTAAGAAAGTGGTTTGAACTGTAAATATCACCACTGTGGGCTGATTAAGATAAATGAGATGATTAGCTTGCAGCCAGATTTAGCTAACAATTAGAGGGTGCCTGCTGGTGCGACTTCATTGTTTTGACACAAGAGCCAACAGAGACTCATTATCACAAGCCTCCTCACCTTCTTTTGTTAATGTAAAATTAATCGTGGGCGATTCAGCCTCTTAAAGCGGCTGGGTTTAGTCCCCTATCCCAATTCTTTCACTTTCTTTTTGTGTCGTACACAACTGATAGCTACACTATATAGCACAGGTGTCAAACAAAAGGCCCGCCGTAACTTTTAGTGTGGTCCTGTAGAACCTAGAATACAACCTTTAAGATAGCAGTTGTGTGCGTAAGTATTATATCAATAAAATTGAAGCAGTTTTCATTTGCATACTACCAAATTACCTCAGTGTGAAAGGATGTTTAATATTATTTATTATTTGCCTTTAAGAAGCAATGGTGTGCAGAAAAAAATGCACAAGCATTAAAAAAGGGGCAGCTTGTGTGGATGTATTCAGTTTAAGTTTTTTTTTTTTTCTCTAAAAATTAATCTAGCCTAGATTAAAAATAAAAGTGCACAGAGGCAGAAAGATCTCCACAGGAATTTGGGGTCTGCAGGTGTCAGGAACGGCTCTCGTGGCGGCGAGATGGAGGCAGGGTTCTGATAATAGTGAATTCAATAATGAAAAGACTGAGAAAAATAGACGAGGAATCGCAGGTGGAACACAAACGCACTTGGAATTTTATAGGGAAACTCGAGGGCACGAGGTTGATTGCTTGCTGCAAAACAGGTGAGTCTGTTTAACTGACTGCAGCTGCGGGGGGAAAGGAAGGAGCTAGAGATAACAGAAGGGACTGGCTGGGAAATGATACTGTTTGAATATAGAAGGAAACCCAATTGATTCTAACGAAAACGAAAAAATGTCTACAGCTAAAATGTTCAAACGAGGAAAAATGTGACCAATTCATAAATTGTCCAGGGAGGTTTCTAATGATGAAGGAGCTGAGGGAATTTCTCAATGGTATTGGTTGTATTGTACATGTGACAATACACTCCTTTATTTTCCATAGGTCTGGACTGATTAATAGAAGCTTTTTCTTCCAAAGAAAAAAAAATAATATCTTGGCTAAAATCCCTCAAAACCTTATGGAAGGATGCTACAATCTGTTGAAACTAAACTTGAAATTTTAGACCGCAATTCTGAAAGTTGCAAAACTAGCACTGCACAGTACCTGAAAGAACATCATAACCAGAGTAAAAGCATGGTGGTGGTAGTATGATGTTCTGGGAAAATAACCCCAGAACATGATGGGAGGCGCTGAAGTAAAGACTGAATGTTAAGCCTGAATCTAAAGCTGCTTCAGCAAATCACAGGTTTGTTGAAGCAGCTTTAGAGTTGATGGGATCACAATAGCGAGGCTGCATAAATGGATAAATGCTGACTCAGATTTCTTGTAAAATGTGAAGAAAGTAGGAGAAGAAGTCTGGATTATTGTAATGCATCAATGCAAGTCTTGCTGGGAATCAGCCAGTTTGTATTGGCAGATTCAGTACAAACCTGGTTGTACTGAATCAACCAATAGGAGCACTTCAGCATTCGCAGCAATTCAGCCTGCTACAAACAGATGAGAACACACAACCCAAGATTGTGTGTTCCCTAGTTGGCATGCTAGCCTTTCTGAGATTTCATTTAAAAATTCATATTGAAGTCCTTTTTACATGTTTTTTATGTCTCTTAAAGGAAATTTAGCATGTATGCACCTCTTCTTGTTCTTCCTAAAACACAATTCAAGTCAGGGTGACAGAGTTGTTGCTGCTACAGGTACAAAACTTTGGAACACCTGGTGTTTTCAAAACTTAAAGAACTTATGAACACCATTCCAAGCATGACAGATGCTGTAATAAAATCTTAAAAAAAAAAAAAAAAAAAAAAAAAAAGGCACCCCTGGGGATAAAAATGGGGTTTTATACTTCAATTTTATGTTGTTTGTGCAATTTTTCCTTTTTCAATCAAAGGATTTAATGTGCTTGGTTAACAGCTTTGGACATTACTGTAAATTATGTTAATTTAAGTTGTATGCACACTCAAACACTCAGCACACAGATAGGTGCCAGGCTGCTCCTCTGATGCCCCTCCTGCCAAGCTGTCCTGCTGCTTCCTGGCACCTGTCACCGTGGAGACGGCTGATTGCATCACCAGAGCTCGCCAAAGGGGAACGGCACACTGAAAGAGAGTCCATCTCTCCATCCTTTCATCTGTTTCCTTTTAGCGACCATCCCATACACACACCCACACACACATACACACACACACACACCCACACACACACACACACACACACACACACACACACACCCTCCCCCCCCCCCTCTTTTTACCTCCTCCCTTCCTTTTATCCCCTTTCGCGT